GGCCGGGGGCCACGGGCGGGATGGGCCCTGCTGTGCAACCTCTGCCCCAGCCGCGCGGGTCTGGAGGCCCCTTTGGGGGAAATCCTGGGCATTTCTGGTTGAAAGTGGGGAAACTGAGGCACAGCAACATGTGCTCAGTGCTAGCCTGGCTGCAGAGCCCAGTTGTCCCGCTCACTTGGGCACCGCCTGTTCCCGAGGCCTTGGGGCCAGCCCGGGAGAGGCTGGAAAACCCTGGAGCTGGTGGAGGGGATGCTGCCAAACGCCGGCACCCGGAGTTTTGGCCCCAAAGGGCCACACCTGGGCTCAGAGGGGGTGGGGGGGTTGCAACCTCGCTTTCCCGTTCATCCTAGCTCTGTTGCAAACCCCTTCGTCTCCCCGTGCCCAGCACAAGGCAGAGCTCGCCGCAGGACAGCGGGGGCAGCCAGGGCCGAGGCAGGGTTTGCTGGGAGAGCAATGGCTCCGGCGGGATGCAGGTGGAGCTGGAAATAGGGAAGCAGGTCGAGGTAGTCGGCAGCGTCGGCAGCGTCGTGGGTATCCACCCAAGGGTGGGGAAGAGGAGGTGGGGCTGTGCCACCTGTGGCTGGCCGGGAGCACAAAAGTGGAGGTGTCCGTACAGAGCCTGAGTTTAGCTTCTAAGCAGCTCTGAGGTCTGTATTGAAAGGGTGATAGGGGCTCTGCCTGGGTAGGGTTGAGAGCTTTGCTGCTGCTGCCGCCACTGCCTTCCTGGGCTGTGTAATGAGGTGGGTCAGGCCTCTGCAGAGCCCTGTGTGCTTTTGGCTGGGCTGTATCTCCAGCTGAAACCTGCCTATTGCAGACCCAAAGCCCCTGTTCAGACCCTGGGTGGTGCCCAAGAGGGTGTTGGGTGGTTGGGACCCGGCCTGTGGTGATGGGCAGTGGCTCAGGGAAGGCCGTGGAGGTTGTGTGATGTCTGTGCCGGGAGATGTTTATCCCTGTGCCTGGAAAAGGAACAAGGGGAAATGCTCCATTGCCCCTGGAGAAGAAAGAGAGGAGAGAGTGAGGGCTCTTTCTTGCACTGCTGCTCTGGTGCAGAAGAGATGCTCCTGGCTGCATCCCTGTCACCAGACAGGCTCTCAGTCTGAGAGGAGTCCTCATCTGGGCCACGTGTCTGCAGGGATCCCCTATGTCAGTGTCTCCCTTTCCTCCCCAGCTCACTCAGGACTCTGGCATCTAAGTAGTGGCCTGGCAGGACGCAAAGGATCAGGGACCTGTGACCTGCTGGTGGCCTGGGACAGGACTGGATGGCAGCAGATCAGCACTGTGGCTTGGCACTTGGGCTCCTCTGCCTAGCACCCTTGGGCATCGCTGCTCTGTGCTCTGACCTCTCCCTGCTTCTCGAGGACACATTGGGGAGGGGCTGTGTGTGAGGACTCTTTCTAGGGCTCTTTTGCCCTAGAAATACAGCTTTTTCTGGGGATTTCCTGGCTGATACAAGAAGAGGCATGAGGAAGGCTGTGGCTTTTAGCCAGAGGAGGTACTGCTCCTGGAAAGAGACTTTTTCCTATCTGAGGGGAAAGGGCTGCTTTAAACTCGCTTCCTGCTTCTGCAGACTGTGAGGACTTGGCCCAGTGTATCTACTAGGTCTCTTGGGGTCCATCAAGATGTCACCGTTTGCAGCATGGGGAGGTCAAGTGAGGTTGGTGGAGGAAGGTGCTCATGGTCTCCTGCCTCTGTGGTGGAGGCACAGAGAAAGCATGGACCTCTGCAGGAGCTGTGGCTGAGGTGCAGAGCCGGAGCCAGCAAAGCCTAGGGATGCACTGAGCAGGCAATGCCACTGGCCTGGCACCAACATCCCAGCTGTGTCATGGCACGGCTGGTGTCTCAGGATGTGACAAAAGGCCAAGACCGCTCCAGGGCTGTGCAGCTCTTACAAGTCTGGCACCGCATGCTTGTCCTTGTGTCTTCCCTTTGCAGAGCCCAGGGAGCAGGTGGAGCAGTTACACTGGGAGTCTCCTGGCTGCTGAGATCCCAAGGTCACATCCTGCTGTCCTGGCTGTCATCCCTGGCCCAGCACCCAGCAAGGAGCCAGCAGCACCATGATGTCCCAGACGGAAGGTACAGCTGAGCCCCTGGTCTGCCCCAGGATGGATGCAGCACACATATCAGGACCCTTCTGCTAGTTGAACTTCCAACTTGGTGCTGATCTCCTGTCCTGATCCATTTAAAGCTCTGGCCTGGGCCCTGTAGCCCCTTTCCTTGAACTCTTAGCCAGCTCAAGCCTTTGTGAAAGGCACTTCTCACCACAAACTACTGAAATACTGTGACTACAGGGTGCAGGACCGCTCTGGGGGCACATGCTGCAGGAGCACCCCATCCCTCCAAGTCCCAGCCACAGCATGCAGGAGAACAATGAGACTCGAAGGAAGTGGCATGGATATACTGGAGGAGTAGAGAAACTAGGACTGGGGAAGTAAAGGCAGCTGGTTTCAGCTGTGTGTGGCTTGGGCTCAGCTCCCTGCAGGACCTGTGCCCAGGCTGCCCCTCTCTTTCCCAGCAGGTGAGGAGGCTTTTGAATACTGTGATGTTACCATCAACAGCCAGGAGAAGGCTTCGGATGTGTATACCCAGCTGGAGAAGCTTGGAGAGTAAGTTGGGGTCCCTGCATCTCCTTTTGCCCTGAGATGGCAGTGCTGGGCTCCATGGGGCAGGGCTCCCAGGCCAGCTCTAACACCAGGCAGGATGCAGGGCAGTTGCGACAGCTCCCCCATCCCTTGTGCTTGTTCTGTCCCAGGGGGAAGTTTGGGATGGTGTACAGGCTGCAGGAAAAGGCCACCGGGAAGATCCGGGCTGGGAAGTATTTCCGGACACGGATGCCCAAAGAGAGGCAGGCGGCTCGGGCAGAGGTGGAGCTCATGAACCTGCTGCATCATCCACGCCTCGTGCAGTGTCTCGCTGCCTTCCAGAGCCCTGAGGAGCTGGTGATGGTGATGGAGTAGTGAGTAGGGGAGAAAGCTGAGTGTGGGGTCAGCAGAGCCTCCTCTGGGCCCTGCTCTGGGTGCTGGGTGTAACCAAGAAGAGCATCTAAGGTGGGAAGAGGTCTCTGCACCTGGGGCCCTGGCTTGGGGAGGTAACATAGATCAGGAGTCAGCAGACCCTGGGGGACACAAGCTCTCCAAGATGTACCCAGAGTGCAACCTGCAGGGCTCTCCCATGGCATTTCCCCTCCCTGGGGGCTAGCAGACCCCTGTGGAGACCCCAAGATCTTGACCCAGTCCTGTCTGCTCCCCCAGCATCGCGGGCAGGGAGCTCTTTGAACGGATCGTGGATGACGACTTTGAGCACACGGAGCCCAGCAGCATCCAGTACGTGCGGCAGATCCTGGAGGGGCTCCAGTACATGCACAGCCAGGCCATCGTCCACCTGGACCTCAAACCTGAGAACATTGTCTGCGTCAGCCCGAGCAGCCACTGGCTCAAGATCATCGACTTTGGTCTGGCACGGAAACTGGGTGAGTGCGGGGAAATACCTGGGCGACGGGGGCAGGGACTGCTGCCATCACAGACCTGCCGCAGGGCCCAGTCCAGCAAGATTAGCAGAGACTTAGGTGCTTCCTGCATCCTCCTGCATGTGCCTCTAGGGTGTGCAGCCCTGTGGCACTGGATCAGGGCCCTTCCCAGTGATCATAAGATTCGCCAGGAAAATCTGTTGCCAGCCCCTCCTCTGATGTGGGCAGTCCAGAGTCCCTGGGCCCAGCTCTGTGAGTGCTCAGCACCAGAGATCTCCTAGGAGAGCACCAAGACCTGCAGTGGACACTGGGAGGAGGGGGGGCAGTTCCACCTGGACACCAGGGTTTCGTCTCCCCCTGGCCCAGGCAGAGCTGGCAAGGCAGGTGCCAGTGGCTGGCAGCGTGGCCAAGGCACGTGGGCTGCTGGGGTCGAGCTGGGCTGCCTCAGGGAGAGCCCAGCTGGGGAGGGACCTCTGTAGACCTGCCCTAGTCTCTGTCTTCTCTGCAGCTCCAGACAACCCTGTGAAGGTGCTGCATGGGACCCCTGAGTTTATGGCTCCAGAAGTGGTCTCCTTTGAGCCTGTGGGGTTCACCACAGACATGTGGAGCATTGGTGTAATCTGCTATATCCTGTGAGTGGCTTTCTGTGGACAGCAGTTGGGGTGGAGAGGGCTGAGCCACCACTGACGTCTGGTACTGCTTCTTCAGGTTGAGTGGTGAGTCCCCCTTCCAGGGGGAAAATGACATGGAGACGCTGAGCAACATCACAGCTGCCCAGTGGGAATTTGAGGAAGAGACCTTCTCAGAGATCTCCCAGCAGGCCAAAGACTTCATCAGCCAGCTGCTGCAGAAGGATGCCCGGTAGGACCTGGGGACTGAGTGTGGGACATATCCCTGTGGTTAGAGATGGAGCTGAGCTAGGTTTTGGGGAGGGGAAGGCCAACCCTGGGGCCAGTGTGCCCTGCCATGCTGAATGCAGTGCCTGAATGGCCCCTGCAGGCTGCACACCTGTGCCCAGAGCTGTTCTCTGGGGCTGTGTCAGCCTCCAAGGGCTTGAACACAATGGAGCACCCTGAACTGCTGTTTGCCTCCAGGTGCCGGCTCTCCAGCAAAGAGGCTCTGTTGCACTCCTGGTTGCAGCAGCCAGCACCCAGCAGCACAAAGGTGCTGTCAAAGGAGAGGATTAAGCAGTTCCTGACTCGTCGCAAGTGGCAGGTATACAGGAAGGATGTGTCTGGGGTAGGGAGCTGAGGATGTCGGGCTGGGGATTTCTTCGCTGAGACACAGTGCTCCTTCCCTTCACTCCAGAAAACAGGAAAAGCCCTGCTGGCTCTCAACAGACTGACCCTGCGCTCCCAAAACCTGGACAGGAAAGCATTGGACACCCAGGATGAAGAAGGTGATTGCCCCTGCAAGCATTGACCCTGATGCACCCCACCTGCTCTCTGCCACTCCCTGGCAGTATCCTCCACCTTGAATCTGACCTGCCCCAGTGCCACCAAACACTTAGGCCCTGTATGGGCATGTGCCCAGCTAGGCACTTCTGCTCTGTGCCCAACTTTAGTGCCCCAAAGTCCTCTGCATCCTCATCCTGGAGAGGCAGCCTCTGATAGAGCCTTCGTGCATGTGTCCAGCTCAGCAGTGCTCTGTGCTGCCTCGGCAGCCTCTCCTCCCTGCTGGTCTCTCCCAGTCCCTGGGGAGGTGATTTGATAACACCCCCTGGGTTGCTGTGATCTGGACCTATCCCTCAAGTGGAGGAGGGAGGTTTGAACACAGCTGGTGCCTCATTCGCTTGTCTGTCTGTCCATCTATAGACCTGTGCTGCAGCCTGGAAGAGGACCAAGCCTTTGCACTTCTGCCCCAGCAGGGCCCCAGCTTCTCAAAGCCGTTGACAGACCAAGAGGCGGCGGAAGGTGGGAGCATTTGTCTCCAGTGCCGCATTGAAGGTGAGTCTTGCCAGCCCCTCCCACAGCGGAGTGCAGTACCAGCTACAGCTCGGGCCAGTAAGAAGCCCCAAGCTGTGTGCGGCACCAGTAACTGTGCAATCACAGAGGCTACATGTCCTGCAGAGCTGGAAGTGCCCTGGGGTTGGCTTCTGCACCCACTGTAGGGGAGTGAGCCACACCCCTGCTTCAATGCAACTGCTCTTCCCTCTGTTACCTCTCTGCAGGTGTCCCTGCCCTGGAGGTCACCTGGCTCCAGGATTGCACTCCCCTCAAGGACAGTCCCCGTGTCCGCATCAAGTGTGGGCCTGATGGGTGCTGCAGCCTCACCATCTTGGAGCTCACGCCAAAGGATGCGGGGCGATACGTGTGCAGGGCTGTCACGGCCACAGGAAAGGTGGAAACCAGTGCTGTGGTGGCTGTGCTCCCCCAGCAGGGGGACAGACAAGGCCTTCTCCAGTCCCAAGAGAGCTAGCAGGACACTGCTGAGAGCAGAGGTATGGCCCAGTTCCCTCCTCTGCCAGGACCTGGCTGGCTGTCCCACTGTAGGCCCAGACCCCAGGACTTGCCTCTGGTGGGTGAGCTCTGGGGTTGGGGCTTCCACCCTGTCCCTGTGCTGGACCAAGGCCTTCCTGTCCACATGGGCTCCTGTGCCAGCTGACTGCCAAGCTCTGCTCACTGTGTTTCACGAGGCCAATAAAGCATGGAAAGACTTCTGTACTCCCTGAGCGGCTCTATTTTCCTAGAAGCACTTGGTGGGGGGGGGGGAGGAAGAACTGCAGTTACAGTGTGCCTTCCAACCTCATCCAGAGGAGCCACTGCTGTAAAAATCAGGCTTTGAGAACCCTGGGCCTGCTGCTATTCTGGTTCTCAGGTCCTGTGAGGTTGAGCAGCCTCTGCTTTGGCTCTGGGAACAAGCTGGCTGCTGCATTCATGCTCCTCCCGGGGCGGTTTTTTTTTCCAAGAAGGGCTGGGGGGGGGGGGGGGAGGAAGAACTGCAGTTACAGTGTGCCTTCCAACCTCATCCAGAGGAGCCACTGCTGTAGAAATCAGGCTTTGAGAACCCTGGGCCTGCTGCTATTCTGGTTCTCAGGTCCTGTGAGGTTGAGCAGCCTCTGCTTTGGCTCTGGGAACAAGCTGGCTGCTGCATTCATGCTTTGCTGCTGTGAAAACTGCTTCCTGTTCAAGCTGGACTGGGAGCTGCTTTTCCCTAGCAAATGCCAAAGCCAGAGGGCTTGCAAGCATGTCCTGGTTTAAATGGGGTGCAGGAGTGTGCTCATGCCAAAAAAAAAAAAAATAATAATGTAGGGCAGTAAACCCTTCCTTCTCCTCCTGCATCTGCTTCCCTTCCAGCCTCCCCCACTGCATACTTCTGGGAAAATGGGGTTAGGTCAGGAGGGGGAATAAAAGGAAGGTGGTATTTTTATTAAACAAAACTGATTCACCACTTTCACAATTGCCACTCAGCCATGCATCAGAGTGTTTTGACCAGGATCACTCATGTGACACAGACAAAGCAACATCAGCTGTCAAAGCTCCTAGGTGCAGCTGGAGTGGCAACTGAATTTTTCTTTTTCTCCCAGCTTGTACAGAACCCAGCAAACGGGCTGGCAAAACAAACTTGCTGGATAGGTCTTCTGTACCCTTTAGCAGCCAGTGATCACCATGGTGTGAGACTTCTGTGGCAGAGTTTAGTGCACTGTAGCTTCCATAAATGTTAGCCAAGTGTCTGTGGCTCCTTGGATGGGGTATTTCATGGCTCTCATCTGCTCTTCTGTTGGGCTAAGAGAGGGAGGGATGCAGTAACCTTCCTGTCCTGTTAACACCATGTGGAGACAGCCAGCTGCTGCTGTCACCTGTGCTATAGCCCTATCAGAGTGCAGGCTTGACTGGTATTTTTGTGGTAAGTGACTGTTCCCTGTTCATAGCGTCAACTGCCGATGGCTGCTGTTGGGTACAAATGGTAACTGTCAGACATGCTTGTTGCAAGACCAGAGTGAGGCTCAATGTGTTGTGGGACAGGTCCTCTGCAGTGAGCTGGAGGCCACCTACTACCACAAGCCGTACAAAGACTTCCTCTTTCCTGCTCAGGGATTAGTTTCCACTGCTTACTCCATCTCTAAACCAGCAGAAGCACTCATTGCAGGACACAGCTGAGAGGCTCAGTGCAGCATGGGGCCACCCCACAAGAGTCAGAGACCGGCCAGCAGCTCATCAGTCCCAGTGCCATGGAGCCAGGGGCTGTCTGCAGCAACGGGGCGTTGGGTGCCCCCCAACCCAGCAAGTTGCAGAGCCAGACCTCGAAATGCTCTTGTTCTAGGGCCTGTGGGACAAGGGGTTTCCAGGGGAAGTCAGCCATCAGGCAACCACTGTGGTATTGCACATGGATTCATAATGCACTCTGCTCAAGGGGAGAGCAAAATCTGGCTCTACCTTTTCCCTTTGTCTGAGATATTAGATATGCTTCAGGAAAGGTAATACAGGGAGGGAACTTGCTTTGGAAGTAAGTACTGTTTTCAGCAGAAGTGGATTCACTACTAAAAAGAACCTGATGAGACAGCTGCAACAATTGGCCTTTTAGTTTCTGACAGTAGGTGCTGGTTGCATTCACGAGTCATACTGATTTTAAGTTGGAAGAGAAGTTCCTTAAAAATAAACAAACATACATATTTAGTATTCTAGCTGTGGTATTTCTCTTCTGTTTCCAGAGAAATACATAGAGAGACTGAAGATGTGCTTCTCCTCTCTTACCCAAACTGTTCCTCTTGATACTCAAATACATCATATCCTAACTTCTACCCATTAGTGTTACCTATTCAGTGTTTTCTTCATTATTTCTAAAAAGCTGATTCTGGCTGATCTAAACTCACATGTGTCCCTTGAGAACCAAGTAGAATGTCTTCAGGCTGCAAATGAAAAGCAAACACCAAGTTAAATATAATCAATCTTTTGATGGCTATTTACCATGTGACATTACCAAAATATTTCTGGTTGGGAACTATCTTACCCTTTTACTCAAACTACCCGTGACCCTGAATATCCATGCCCTGGTGTAGCCTTCTCTCTATAATCTTGCTTATCGCTTTAGGATTGCCTATATTTTACATTGTGTGTCTTGCTTCTGGCAAGCTGCTTTATGTACAGAAGGCAGTGCATCTCAGCACGTTTCTTTTCCTTCCCCTACTTCCCATAGATTAACACAGAACAATGAACACTTGTCAGTGAAAGTAATAGACTAAATAAAGAATGGAATTATACCTGGAACTCATTATAATCATAGAGAAATTCAGTAGCACTGAAAATAGAAATCCAATCTCAACTCTCTGAAGCAAAGGAATTAATAAGTGATCTTTTGATCAAGACTGACTTTCTCTAAGGTTTACCGTCACTTCAGCCATACAACTTCAGAGTACATACAAAAATCATTAGAAACCTTTCTGCCTTGCTTGAAGAGTGGTGCCTGCCTTGGAAATGTTCAGAAATGGTTCCCTTTCTTATCATTAAATACCCTCAATCCTTGTTCCTCAGAGATACGCAAGGGACAATTAGCTATCCTTGAGGTTCTGATCTTGATCCTTCTGTCCCAAGTTATCATGATTATCTAATGTTTGTTTTGAGCTACAGAACCCAGGCATAAGGTTGCTTATTTAGACATGCAAATATTGCCTAGGTAGCACTAACATCAAGAAATAGTCTTTCTTCATGGACTCTCTCCCCAATGTGATTTGCAGGGGGGAAAAAAACCAAAACTAAAAAAAAAGAAAAAGTATGATTTCCTGCTTGGGCATTTTCCTGTGAATTGAAATGAATTAAGAAAACAAACCTAAGTCTGAAGTCATCCCTTAATGTAAAAAATTAGCCCAGGGCACATATTCAAGAAGATTATTTTAATATGTCATTTCTAGAATGCTTTTTATAGGACTATTATACCAGGAAATGAAGAGCTACCAAGTAATTTGAATTGTCAGATAAAAGCTTTCATGTATCACAAGAAAAATACTAAAAGATAGGAGAACGGGAGAAGACATACAGAATGCGAGGACTTGCTCACAACAGATGCAAAGATAGCTAAATGAAGACAGAAACTAGAAGTAATAAAGGAGGCATTTAGGAAAAGGAAAAGGGCATCAGTAACACCCGAATGACAACACACTCACCCCTCACTGAAACATGGCTGTGACTTACCTTGTGAGGGGTTAGACACAAGTCCACACAAAGCTGTCTCACTGCTGTAATCTTCCTTTCGGTCTTCAACCTTAGAACAAATAATGCATTAGAGCAATTACTTAATTGATTTTTTTCGTTAAGTTGAGCTCAAGTCAAACAAGAGCTCCATCCATTCCTCCAACAGGAAGGAGCTCTGTCGAGACGATCCGACCCTTACATTAACCTGGGAGCCTGCAGCCTGCTTAGCATCATCCCCACGTAGAGACAGGTAAGAAGAGCCCGGGCCATACCCGGCAGCCCCA